GGGTGAGACAACAGGAAGTGAGAGAAATCTACCCCTCGGAAGGGAAATTCACTCCTGAAAGTTATCATGGGGAAAAGGGGTCTCAATTGAAACTATCGTCAATCCTTGTTTCCACAACAAGCCATTTTTCCCCCCAAAATCCAGTATCACAGCGACAGGAAGTGTGGTTATATCTTCTGAACAGGGACACAGAGGGCAGACACCATGGCTGTTAACCCCTATGCCAGGGGTCCTCAAACTAAGGCCTGGGGGGCGGATGCGGCCCTCCAAGGTCATTTACCCGGCCCTCGCTCAGAGTCAACCTAAGTCTGAAATGAGTTGAAAGCACACAACAACAACAACAATCCTATCTCATCAACCAAAAGCAAGCCCACACTTCCCATTGAAATACTAATAAGTTTGTATTTGTTAAAATTGTTCTTCATTTTAATTATTGTATTGTTTTAAGTGTTTTTGCACTACAAATAAGATACGTGCAGTGTGCATGTGCAATTCATTCATACTTTTTTCAAATTATAATCTGGCCCTTCAGCAGTTTGAGGGACTGTGACCTGGACCTCAGTTTAAAAAGTCTGAGGATCCCTGCCCTATACTATACACACACACACACACACACACACACACACACACACAATGGCTGGTGTTACACTTAAAATATATACCGGTACCTGTTCTGACTTACACAATTAGTTTGATCAATTAGAATTTGTTAAAATACAAAAGGAACTCCAGCAAAGGATCACCGCCTTGTCGGGGCGCTGGAGCTTGAGCACCTCAATGATGTCATGAGCGAAACCGTGAAGGGACACCCAAGAGGGGACGGTTGTGGCAGAGAGGTCAGACCAAGCGTGATCCCTGGGGAAGGCAATGGCAAACCACTCCAGTATCCTTGCCAAGAAAACTAAATGGACCAGTACCACCAGAGATATGTCGGTATGCCATTGGAAGATGGGACTCCCAGGTCGGAAGATGGCCAAAATGCTACTGGGGAGGAGCAGAGGATAAGTTCAACTAGCCCCAGATGTGATGACGCAGCTAGCTCAAAGCCGAAAGGAAGGCTAGCGGCCGACGGTCCTGGAGGTGAACGACGAATCCGATGCTCTAAAGATCAACACACCATAGGAACCTGGAATGTAAGATCTATGAGCCAGGGCAAATTGGATGTTGTTATTGGCGAGATGTCAAGACTAAAGATAGACATTCTGGGGGTCAGCGAACTGAAATGGACTGGAATGGGCCACTTCACATCAGATGACCACCAGATCTACTACTGCGGACAAGAGGAACATCGAGAAATGGAGTAGCCTTCATAATTAATAAGAAATTCGCTAATGCGGTGCTTGGATACAACCCAAAAAATGACAGAATGATCTCAATTCGAGTGCAAGGAAAGCCTTTCAACATTACAGTGATCCAAATATACGCCCCAACCACAGCTGCTGAAGAAGCAGAAGTAGTTCAGTTCTATGAGGATCTGCAGGAACTACTGGATAATACACCAAAAAGAGACATTATTTTCATTACAGGAGACTGGAATGCCAAGGTGGGAAGTCAAATGACAACTGGGATCACAGGCAAGCATGGTCTGGGAGAACAAAATGAAGCGGGACGCAGGCTGATAGAATTTTGCCAGGAAAACTCGCTGTGTATAACGAATACTCTCTTCCAACAACCTAAAATACGGCTTTACACATGGACCTCACCAGACGGTCAACACCGAAATCAGATTGACTACATCCTTTGCAGCCAAAGGTGGCGGACATCCATCCAGTCGGTGAAAACAAGACCTGGGGCTGACTGTAGCTCAGATCACGAACTTCTTATTGCCCAATTTAGAATAAAACTAAAGAGATCAGGGAAAATACACAGACCAGTTAGATATGATCTCACTAACATTCCTAGCGAATATACAGTGGAAGTGAAGAACAGATTTGAAGGACTAGATTTAGTAAACAGAGGCCCAGAAGAACTATGGACAGAAGTCCGCGACATTGTTCAGGAGGCGGCAACAAAGTACGTCCCAAAGAAAAAGAAAACCAAGAAGGCAAAATGGTTGTCTGCTGAGACACTGGAAGTAGCCCAAGAAAGGAGGAAAGCAAAAGGAAACAGGGATAAGGGGAGATATGCCCAGTTAAATGCGCAACTCCAGAGGTTAGCCAGAAGAGATAAGGAACTATTTTTAAATAAGCAATGCATGGAAGTGGAAGAAGACAACAGAATAGGAAGGACAAGAGACCTCTTCCAGAAAATTAGAAACATTGGAGGTAAATTTCAGGCAAAAATTGGTATGATAAGAAACAAAGATGGCAGGGACCTAAAAGAAGCTGAAGAGATCAAGAGAAGGTGTAGAGACTATACAGAAGATCTGTATAGAAGGGGAGATATGCCCAGTTAAATGCGCAATTCCACAGGTTAGCCAGAAGAGATAAGGAACTATTTTTAAATAAGCAATGCATGGAAGTGGAGGAAGACAACAGAATAGGAAGGACAAGAGACCTCTTCCAGAAAATTAGAAACATGGGAGGTAAATTTCAGGCAAAAATTGGTATGATAAGAAACAAAGATGGCAGGGACCTAACAGAAGCTGAAGAGATCAAGAGAAGGTGGCGAGACTACACAGAAGATCTGTATAGGAAGGATAATAATATTGAGGATAGTTTTGACGTTGTGGTGAATGAATTAGAACCAGACATCCTGAGGAGTGAGGTTGAATGGGCCTTAAGAAGCATTGCTAACAACAAGGCAGCAGGAGATGACGGGATCCCAGCTGAACTGTTTAAAATCTTGAAAGATGATGCTGTCAAGGTGATGCATGCCATATGCCAGCAAATATGAAAAACACAAGAATGGCCATCAGACTGGAAAAAATCAACTTATATCCCATACCAAAAAAGGGAAATGCGAAAGACTGCTCAAACTTCCGTACAGTGGCCCTTATTTCTCATGCCAGTAAGGTAATGCTCAAGATCCTGCAAGGAAGACTCCAGCAATACAAGGAGCGAGAGTTGCCAGATGTTCAAGCTGGGTTTAGAAAAGGCAGAGGAACGAGAGACCAGAATGCCAATATCCGCTGGATAATGGAGAAAGGCAGGGAGTTTCAGAAAAACATCTACTTCTGCTTCATTGACTATTCTAAAGCCTTTGACTGTGTGGATCATAATAAATTGTGGCAAGTTCTTAGTGGGATGGGCATACCAACCCACCTTGTCTCTCTCCTGAGGAATCTGTACAAGGACCAAGTAGCAACAGTCAGAACTGACCACGGAACAACAGACTGGTTCAAGATTGGGAAAGGCGTACGGCAAGGCTGCATACTCTCACCCAACCTTTTTAACTTGTATGCAGAACACATCATGCGATGTGCGGGGCTGGATGAATGCAAATCTGGGGTGAAAATTGCTGGAAGAAACATTAACAACCTCAGATATGCAGATGACACCACTCTGATGGCCGAAAGCGAGGAGGAGCTGAGGAGCCTTCTAATCAAGGTGAAAGAAGAAAGCGCAAAAGCCGGGTTGCAGCTAAACGTCAAAAAAACCAAGATTATGGCAACAAGAATGATTGACAACTGGAAAATAGAGGGAGAAAATGTGGAGGCCGTGACAGCCTTTGTATTTCTAGGTGCAAAGATTACTGCAGATGCAGACTGTGGCCAGGAAATCAGAAGACGCTTCCTTCTTGGGAGGAGAGCAATGTCCAATCTCGATAAAATAGTAAAGAGTAGAGACATCAGACTGGCAACAAAGATCCGCATATCAAAGCCATGGTCTTCCCTGTAGTAACCTACGGATGTGAGAGCTGGACCTTAGGGAAGGCTGAGCGGAAGATCGATGCTTTTGAGCTGTGGTGTTGGAGGAAAGTTCTGAGAGTGCCTTGGACTGCGAGAAGATCCAACCAGTCCATCCTCCAGGAAATAAAGCCCAACTGCTCATTGGAGGGAAGGATACTAGAGACAAAGTTGAAGTACTTTGGCCACATCATGAGGAGACAGGAAAGCCTAGAGAAGACAATTATGCTGGGGAAAGTGGAAGGCAAAAGGAAGAGGGGCCGACCAAGGGCAAGATGGATGGATGGCATCCTTGAAGTGACTGGACTGACCTTGAAGGAGCTGGGGGTGGTGACAGCCGACAGGGAGCTCTGGCGTGGGCTGGTCCATGAGGTCACGAAGAGTCGGAGACGACTGAACGAATGAACAACACAAAAGGAAATATTCATATCCATCTCTAAAGTTTTCAAGGATCAGGACAGAATTTCATGACTCTCTGCAACCCATTAATTGTCACAGATAGGAATGAAAATTTCCAATTTGATGAAGACACATTAACTTAAGAATAGACCTACAGAACTTAGTTTTTGTAACTTGTGGGCTGCCTTTCTCTCTATATATACAAAGACACACACACACTGTTCCGTCTTCCAGGAGCTTGGTTTGCATTGCCAATTAGTTGCATGAAATACCATCCTTTTGCATTTTTCCCAGGGTTGCTATAGTCTCAGTAGCACCCTGAAAGTTAACACACACAAACACACACACTTAATAAACTGAAAACACAGTGTATTGTAGAAGGCCTTCATGGCCAGAATCACTGGGTTGCTGTAAGTTTTTTGGGCTGTATGGCCATGTTCCACAAGCATTGTTTCCTGATGTCTTGCCTGCATCTCTGGCAGGCATCCTCACAAGTTGTGAGGTTGCGAGACCTCACAACCTGTGAGGATGCCTGCCATAGATGCAGGTGAAACGTCAGGAGAAAATGCTTCTGGAACATGGCCATACAACCCGGAAAAATTACAGCAACCCACTGAAAACACAATGATATCCCTCAGATTGGCACAAGGTCACAGATGCACAATTTACATGAATGTTTTCCAGTGATTATTATCACTATGTAATTTACACCTAGGTCTGGAGTAAATTTGGAGAGTTGCAACCCACAAATATGACACCCAATTGTGTCACTTGAGAATGAGCCTATTTGGTGTGTTCTGCTTTCCAGTGACTGTACCCGTAGCCTTGGGCATGGCTTCCAGAAATGACAGCAGCAGCTTTGGCGTCATTTGCAATCCAGTTTCCTGCCCTGAAGTGGATCAGCCTCGGTCAAGCTACCTCCCACCCTCAGAACAGTCAAGGGGCCTTTCTTCTTGTCTCAATTCTGCAGAGTGGCCATTGAGGCGTTATGGCCGGTTCATGCCTGGAGGTTTGGACCCTGCTTCCGGTTCCTGGAAGGTATTCTTAGTTTAGTTGGCTTATAGGGAGATGTCTGCATGACACTCAACTATGGCAAAACAAAAACAAAAACACACACATTTAGCCACAAGGGGAGCAGAATTCAACTGACTTTTTTCAGTCAAAAAGATGTTTAAAAATATTCTTAGATTTAAAGCTTTTTTTCTAATTTCAGAGAAATGACTGCTTCATTCATTCATATATTTAAATATAGTTTTTCAATATGGTACAGCTTGATTCCCTAGCATTTTCATGATTTATTATCCTTTATTAAAAATACCTATAACCTACCTTTTCTCCCAAACAGAGTCCCCAAGGCTCTATACACCAGGAAATGAAACTAAAAAGGCCAATCTAGGTTGACAACAGAGCTCATCCTCTGAAAAACAAAGGCAATAGTTGAAAATACTAAGTAACATTTTGCAATTTGTAGTTATCACTGAGGTTTATCAACAGGCAATCATGCGTTTGAAGGTTGGAAAGCGTTTCTTATTCATATTGCGATATCATTGCTTTAAAAATTATTTCCTTTTATTCATAAAAAAAGGTTTTGGAGTCAAATGAAGAATCTGGCTTTCTTGTACTCACCATAGTAATTTCAGGACATTTCTTCATTTCCAGAGGAAAGGATGTACTGGTAAGTATTCATTTTTATAGGTATTAGTGTCTCTTGAAACGTTTTCTCCATAAATTCTGATTTTCAAGGAATGTTAAATAAGTTTTATAGATATTGTTCAAATTAACATGGTTTGCAAACACTGCACACTTCTACATTCATGTGGTTCGATTGCAGTCAATAACCAATTAGCAGTTTTTTTGTGTGTCAGGAGCAACTTGAGAAACTGCAAGTCACTTCTGGTGTGAGAGAATTGGCCGTCTGCAAGAACGTGGCTCAGGGAATGCCCAGATGTTTTGAAGCATCCTTGTGGGAGGCTTCTCTCATGTCCCCGCATAGGGAGATGGAGCTGACAGAGGGAGGTCATCTGCACTCTCCCAGATTTTAACCTCCGATCTGTCGGTCTCCAGTCCTGCCAGCACAAGGGTTTAACCTATTGTGCCACCGGGGGCTCTGGTGCTGGTTATAGGCCAGGCATTGAATGTTATTGAAGTGCTTCTTTATTGTTAGAGTGGCATTTGTGTTTCTGGAGGAGTTTGAAGGGTGGCTAACATTTATCAGTATAATGAAATATTTGTGTTCATCCTTTATTTACCCTTAGTTGTATCTAGGGCATTTCAAACAAGTGGCTTGAACTGAAACTGGAATAAGATTGTGTGGTTGCCATTATTTACAACTCCTCTCCTTTACCTGTCTTTTTTATTTTATTTATTTAAAACATTTATTTATTCATTCCACCCTTCTCACAAATGGCAAACATGCAGTGCCGGGACATAAATAGATTATATGCATACATAAACATTAAAAACATATGTCTCAACATTAAAATCCACTGCCTAAACTGTCTCGATCATCTGCATCACCACAAAATAAAACGTCTTTTTAAAAAAAATAAATTCTAATCCCATTTAATTTTTATGGTCTCCTTAATTCAAAATACATTTGTAGTGAGTGCGTTCTATAGAATACATACATGGACATGCCTCCTTCTCCTATTTGCCATTCCACCTCAGCATAATCTCTTAGATGGCGGTGGTATGTAGATAGTTGCATGATATAAAATATCCTATTTATTAAGGAGATGGATGTCAGGATACAGCTTCCACAAGCGTCTCTTCTTTTGATTTCTCCAGGTAGGATGCTTTAATTTGAGTAGCAGTGGACAAATATTAAACATCTTTAATGGACCATCTATCTGTCATATTCTATTTTGCATTTGAACATGTCTTAGAAGGAGTGAAGAAACTTTCCTTTCAATCTGAGAGGAACAAAAAAATAAGAACGAATGATAATGTGACTGAAACTTTCTAATCCACCAACTACTGCCTGTTGTGTGCTGTTAACTCATACAACTTCTTGGCTCTTCTTATCTCTACCATAAGCAAAGTATGATAAATAGCAGTTTGGCAAAATGACAATGTACTATTAATGTACACTTTTCCTCTCCTGTGAGAAAGGATTTGAAAGCTTGAATTCTCAAAGCTTTAGTGCATTAAGTTCAGTGCTTTACCCAAACATGAGAAGGAGAGAGGTATTGCTGCAGTGAGGAATCAGCACAGTTGGGCAGTTAGCTGAAGGTATGATACCACGGCTGATGGCAAAAGTAGATTATTCAAATCAGAATCAAAGAAAAAACCCCCACAAAAATGTGTGTTTTCTATCATTTTTCAGTAGTTTACTTCCTTTAGAACTTCTCAGTCGGTGAGCAGTGTTTGTATTTCAGGAAGGCTTTTCATTAATTGATGCTTCTCAGTGGCTGAAGATAGCAAGAAATGCAGATTGCATGTTGTTTGGTTCAAAGGCAAAGGTATGCTTACTTCAGACACAAATACTTTTTTCCAAACATATTTTCATTCATGTTTCTTTTTTGGTGAGTGCTTCACAGTTGCGCAGATCACTTTTTTCTCCTTTGGATCTAACCAATTATTGTTTGCTATTATTTCTCATCTGAGCCTCATTTCTGTTGTGTTGGAGTAGATAACAATATATTACCATATCATGAGACATAGTGACAACATTTAATGAAAATGGAACATAAATGAAGTTGTCACTGAGATTCTTGAAAAAGATTTTAGAACAATCAAATTAAAATGTTTACTTCTTTTTTTTTTACTGTGTAGAAAGTCATTATCTCCTGTGTAGAAAGTCATTATCTCCAGCAAAGGATCACCGCCTTGTCGGGGCGCTGGAGCTTGAGCACCTCAATGATGTCATGAGCGAAACCGTGAAGGGACACCCAAGACGGGACGGTTGTGGCAGAGAGGTCAGACCAAGCGTGATCCCTGGGGAAGGCAATGGCAAACCCCTCCAGTATCCTTGCCAAGAAAACTAAATGGACCAGTACAACCAGAGATATGTCGGTATGCCATTGGAAGATGGGACTCCCAGGTCGGAAGATGGCCAAAATGCTACTGGGGAGGAGCAGAGGATAAGTTCAACTAGCCCCAGATGTGATAACGCAGCTAGCTCAAAGCCGAAAGGAAGGCTAGCGGCCGACGGTACTGGAGGTGAACGACGAATCCGATGCTCTAAAGATCAACACACCAAAGGAACCTGGAATGTAAGATCTATGAGCCAGGGCAAATTGGATGTTGTTATTGGTGAGATGTCAAGACTAAAGATATACATTCTGGGGGTCAGCGAACTGAAATGGACTGGAATGGGCCACTTCACATCAGATGACCACCAGATCTACTACTGCGGACAAGAGGAACATCGAAGAAATGGAGTAGCCTTCATAATTAATAAGAAATTAGCTAAAGCGGTGCTTGGATACAACCCAAAAAATGACAGAATGATCTCAATTCGAGTGCAAGGAAAGCCTTTCAACATTACAGTGATCCAAATATATGCCCCAACCACAGCTGCTGAAGAAGCAGAAGTAGATCAGTTCTATGAGGATCTGCAGGACCTACTGGATAATACACCAAAAAGAGACATCATTTTCATTACAGGAGACTGGAATGCCAAGGTGGGAAGTCAAATGACAACTGGGATCACAGGCAAGCATGGTCTGGGAGAACAAAATGATGGGACGCAGGCTGATAGAATTTTGCCAGGAAAACTCGCTGTGTATAACGAATACTCTCTTCCAACAACCTAAAAGACGGCTTTATACATGGACCTCACCAGATGGTCAGCACCGAAATCAGATTGACTACATCCTTTGCAGCCAAAGGTGGCGGACATCCATCCAGTCGGTGAAAACAAGACCTGGGGCTGACTGTAGCTCAGATCACGAACTTCTTATTGCCAAATTTAGAATAAAACTAAAGAGATCAGGGAAAATACACAGATCAGTTAGATATGATCTCACTAACATTCCTAGCGAATATACAGTGGAAGTGAAGAACAGATTTGAAGGACTAGATTTAGTAAACAGAGTCCCAGAAGAACTATGGACAGAAGTCCGCGACATTGTTCAGGAGGCGGCAACAAAGTATGTTCCAAAGAAAAAGAAAACCAAGAAGGCAAAATGGTTGTCTGCTGAGACACTGGAAGTAGCCCAAGAAAGGAGGAAAGCAAAAGGAAACAGTGAAAAGGGGAGATATGCCCAGTTAAATGCGCAATTCCAGAGGTTAGCCAGAAGAGATAAGGAACTATTTTTAAATAAGCAATGCATGGAAGTGGAAGAAGACAACAGAATAGGAAGGACAAGAGACCTCTTCCAGAAAATTAGAAACATTGGAGGTAAATTTCAGGCAAAAATTGGTATGATAAGAAACAAAGATGGCAGGGACCTAACAGAAGCTCAAGAGATCAAGAGAAGGTGGCGAGACTATACAGAAGATCTGTATAGGAAGGATAATAATATTGAGGATAGTTATGACGGTGTGGTGAATGAATTAGAACCAGACATCCTGAGGAGTGAGGTTGAATGGGCCTTAAGAAGCATTGCTAACAACAAGGCAGCAGGAGACGACGGGATCCCAGCTGAACTGTTTAAAATCTTAAAAGATGATGCTGTCAAGGTGATGCATGCCATATGCCAGCAAATATGGAAAACACAAGAATGGCCATCAGACTGGAAAAAACCAACTTATATCCCCATACCAAAAAAGGGAAATGCGAAAGACTGCTCAAACTTCCGTACAGTGGCCCTTATTTCTCATGCCAGTAAGGTAATGCTCAAGATCCTGCAAGGAGACTCCAGCAATACATGGAGCGAGAGTTGCCAGATGTTCAAGCTGGGTTTAGAAAAGGTAGAGGAACGAGAGACCAAATTGCCAATATCCGCTGGATAATGGAGAAAGGCAGGGAGTTTCAGAAAAACATCTTCTTCTGCTTCATTGACTATTCTAAAGCCTTTGACTGTGTGGATCATAATAAATTGTGGCAAGTTCTTAGTGGGATGGGCATCCCAAGCCACCTTGTCTCTCTCCTGAGGAATCTGTACAAGGACCAAGTAGCAACAGTCAGAACTGACCCCGGAACAACAGACTGGTTCAAGATTGGGAAAGGCGTACGGCAAGGCTGCATCCTCTCACCCAACCTTTTTAACTTGTATGCAGAACACATCATGCGATGTGCGGGGCTGGATGAATGCAAAGCTGGGGTGAAAATTGCTGGAAGAAACATTAACAACCTCAGATATGCAGATGACACCACTCTGATGGCCGAAAGCGAGGAGGAGCTGAGGAGCCTTCTAATCAAGGTGAAAGAAGAAAGCGCAAAAGCCGGGTTGCAGCTAAACGTCTAAAAAACCAAGATTATGGCAACAAGAATGATTGACAACTGGAAAATAGAGGGAGAAACCGTGGAGGCCGTGACAGGGTTTGTATTTCTAGGCGCAAAGATGACTGCAGATGCAGACTGTGGCCAGGAAATCAGAAGACGCTTACTTCTTGGGAGGAGAGCAATGTCCAAGTCTCGATAAAATAGTAAAGAGTAGAGACATCAGACTGGCAACAAAGATCCGCCTAGTCAAAGCCATGGTATTCCCTGTAGTCGGATGTGAGAGCTGGACTTAGGGAAGGCTGAGCGAAGGAAGAGATATGCTTTTGAGCTGTGGTGCTGGAGGAAAGTGCTGAGAGTGCCTTGGACTGCGAGAAGATCCAACCAGTCCATCCTCCAGGAAATAAAGCCCGACTGCTCACTGGAGGGAAAGATACTAGAGACAAAGTTGAAGTACTTTGGCCACATCATGAGGAGACAGGAAAGCCTAGAGAAGACAATTATGCTGTGGAAAGTGGAAGGCAAAAGGAAGAGGGGCCGACCAAGGGCAAGATGGATGGATGGCATCCTTGAAGTGACTGGACTGACCTTGAGGGAGCTGGGGGTGGTAACGGCCGACAGGGAGCTCTGGCGTAGGCTGGTCCATGAGGTCACGAAGAGTCGGAGACGACTGAACGAATGAACAACAACAAGAAAGTCATTATAGCATTAAACCCAAAAGAAGGAGAAGAAAAAAAGAATGAATCCACAAAAAATGAGCATTGGTTAAAATATCAGGAATTAGATGTGAAAACTATTGCCAGCTTCCATTTTGAACCTAGGCTGGAGAATGACACAGAGTGAATATGTGGGACACTGATTTTTTTTTTATCAGTTGTATCCAGGATGATTCAGATGAAAGAAAGCTATTTATTGTTTCTGTTTAAAATAGGACAAACATCGTATGTTTCGTATTCAATTTATGGGAGACTCCAAATCGCAGGCAGAAGGTTACTGCGATGACTGTGTGCAGAAACTTGCTGACTATGTTCCAGTTCAAGTAATAGATTCAGCAAGACAGGAGCTGCTTCAAGGCCACAGCCTGCTACTTGAGGATCAAACTCATCAGCAAGATGCTGAAAATAATATACCAATCCCTCACTTGGTAAGGTGATGGAATGAATGTAGAGCATGAATAGGCAGGAATTCAGAGAAAAGCATTGTTCTCTATTTTGGTTACTTATTTCAGATTAGGAATAGTAAAACACTTGCAGCTTCAGATGTAAATCCTCATTTCATGCAATAGTGGCTAATTATTGTATTTTTTCTCAATGGTGAAGAAAATTAATACTTTTGCATACATTGCCACCATGTTCATATCAATCAAAATGTTCAGAAAAGCACTATTTTGCGCAAAAACAAAAGCAATACAAAAACATTCTGCACAGGTAAAAATGTTTATTTTTATGTGTACAAAAATAGATTGCGTCTTTCTCTGCGGGAAAAAAAATCCTCTAGAACACTTGAGTAATTGAACATTGGAAGAAAACTGCATAGCAGGCTATCTGTTCTATTAGTGTTCCCAACAAGGATTACTGCCTTCTAGAAAACCAATTTTTGTTTTACTGGGAAATTGTTAGTTATGATCTTACATAACTGCAATTACATAAGATCATAGGTAAATATTTCATAAGTGTTCTCTCATTAGTATACCTTTTATAGAACAAGTATAAATAAAGTCTCAGTAGTCTTGAGGATTTTCTCCGTCCACAGTATTTTTAAGATTTTTATTTTGACTCCAAATGCCTGTTGTGATCTGGTTGTATTATAGCCAAATGTTTACATACATAGTTTGAAGCTTCTCTTCTGCTTCCAATCATCTACCAATTTCTATGCAATTACTTGATTGATGGAATCCTGCTAGGATCCAGGCAGCAGATGCTTGGGAGCAGCAGGGAGAGCCTTTTGACTGTTCCTCATGAATGTTTATCCAGCTGTTCCCCAAAATTATATGATAGAGCATTGTATTGCCACACAACATCTTACACCTCCTAAATTAGCCTGGTGCATTAAGTACTGTACAATGGAAACAGTGGTCTTCTTTGTAATGTCTACAGCCATCCAGTCAGTCATCTTCGGCTCATGAGTGGAAAGTAGGGAGGTTCTTATGCTTTGCTTGATGTCCTGGGTTTGGCTTGAATGCAGTAATGTTTGTTTTCTGTTTTCTTAGTACATTTTACAGCAAATGTAAAAACACAGTGAATGCCTATTTTTTTTATTAACAGTTCTACATAAAGTTCTACAAATGCATATTATAGATTAATTCTTAACAGACATATATTGATGAATGCAGATGTTTAGCATTCATTGGTGCAATATCTATATATTTGCTAAAAATATCATAACATAAGATTCAGTTCCAGAGGAAATTTTAGTCAGCTTTCCTTAGATAAGGAAATATATGTGTCCCAAACAACTTCCTTTCTACTAGACAGTCCTGATGGTTTTGTCTTGGGCCTTCTCACCAATCTCTTCTTTATTTACTTCATTTATTTATTTGTCTTGTCGTGTTCCTTTTGGGGGAAAAACAACTATTTCTCATCTGCTAGAGTCTTTCTCTTTCTCGCTGCTCTTCTAAGAGAGGCTCAGGTGGAGCAGGTGTCCTTGTTTTGTTAGAAGACATTGTGTTTGTGTCACCGAAGGCTTTCATGGCTGGAATCACTGTGTTGATGTGAAGCATTTTCTCCTGATGTTTCACCTATATCTATGGCAGGCATCCTTTGAGTTTTCTTGCATTAGTTCTTTTCTAAATTTGACTTCAATCTCTCCTAGGTTGAAAATCCCCCTCCAGTAAAGGGAAGAATATCTGTGGCAGAGTTGGCACAGGTAAATTGTTGGCATACAGCAGTACATTTATGAAGTGGGACAGAAAGAGCGACATACTGCTGTTGAAATGTGAAATGTTTCAGAAATCAAAACATTTCTTATTTTCAAGATATTGGTGAAATATATGTTTATATCTGAAGATGCAACTGGATGAATGTGTTTTAATGACATCTATGTTATCACATATATTGTTTTTCTTTACACCTGCATTTCCTCCCACTACATTAGTATTGTATCTGTGCTGAAATACGTATCACATTCAGTAGGGGGGCGGAAGACTTATACTACAAAGCCATTAAACCAAAGCAGAGAAGCAGAGTCCTAAGATGGGAGGGACTTAAGACTGGAAGAGAAAATTACTAATTATGTTTATTTATACACATGTTTTTATGAAACACTGAAAATGCAAAATGCAATGCATTGCAATCCAATTATAAGTAATAGTTTAACAATCTAAGTAGTTAACAATGTGATTACTCTGAAGAAAATGACAAACAATAAATGAAACATTACAAAATTGATTAATTCACAAAATTAATATATCAATCAAAGGGGAAAATATTTAAGATTCCACTAAAGGAATGCATAGATGGTTGTATGAAGGCATGGGAAGGCAATACCGATTGGCTTCTCAATTTGGGTTGCAACATCAAATGCCAAAGCCAAAGTTTATTGCTTCTGTTTTACTGCTGTTGTTTTCAGCCAGTTCATGGTAATGGGGAGAGAGAGAGAGAGTGGTTTTACTGTGTCTACAAACACCTCCTTTAACATTTTAAAATACAATATAGACATGGTGAAGACAATTCTTTTTCATTTTTCCTAAAGTGCTGTGTTATTATCTTTGCTCCAGGAAGAAGCCAAGAGATTTAAAGAGATTATAATTATAATTATATATTTACATTACATGTAATATTACTAATAATATTACAATATAATGGTATAGTGCAATATAGTAATATATACTGATATTGTACTATGCTAATAATATAATATATTGTATGAAAATATATATTGTAAGCCGCTCTGAGTCCCCTTCGGGGTGAGAAGGGCGGCATATAAATGCGCAAATAAATAATAATAAATAATAATAAATTAAAATCTAGCTTAATAGGATTTGTATTTCTTTGGTTGGTCAAATAAAAGTATCAGTGTAAAATTGATTTTGTATTTGTGTTTGGTTATGGCTACTCAAATCAAGCTATTATCACAAAGCTAAGAAATTTGCACAAGAGCATAGGTAAAATGCAAACAAAAAATACAGAAAAGGAACATACATATGTTATAAGTTCTACACTTCCTATATCCCAGGATCTGATCCCAGATTATCTTCTTATTCCAGATTATCTGGCAGTGTACACTCATATAATCCAGTTCAGAGCAGATAATCTGGGAGGAGATCCTGGGATATAGGACATTGTAGATCCAACCTGAATCACAATGTTGTAGCAAACCTTTTTCATAATTGTATTTAGTATGCAGAGTAGTTCTCAACCTTCTTATAAATCCAGGAAGCAAGCCCAAATGTTAAGATAATGAAACAACTGTAAATCATATGAATATTTCTTACGGCTATAGAGGTTAAGGCAGACTACCTCCTACCTTGAGCTGGAATATTTCCCAGGCCTCAACTAGCCCAGCATAATGATCTAAAATTCATTCAAATGGAAATTGAGCGCAAACATCTATTCATCAATGCAGAGACTATGTTCTCAATCTTAATTAATTTGAAAATACTATTTAGGAGTCTAATAATATACTTATTTCACTATTTTCATAGTGGAATTTCATTCTGATTAAATATGGATTCAAATACTGAAAGTGTACTTAAATCGGTCTTCACTTTTTAGAGTCTTTTTATTTTCAAAGATTTTTTTTTCAAAAACAGAACAAAAAAAAGAACTGTTTTTAATCGAATGCTTATAATTGTTTTAATTGTGTTAATTGTAAGTGTGTGTTTTAATGTATTGTTTTTTGGCATCTAATGACTGCCTGCTGTAAGCCGTCTTGAATCCCTCTTCAGAGGTGAGAAGGACGGGATAGAAGTGCCCTAAATAAATAAATAAATAAATAAGGCATCAGTATATATGTAAAAGTATAAATATTAAAACTGCATAAACCTTTAACAAAAAGGAATTGACCTTATCTGTTTATTTTTTCAGTATATGATGTCATCAAATACTGAGCTGCCTCTTGCATATCGACACTCCACTTGGAATGCTGAAGATTTAAGCAGCTTTATTCGACTGTGTCTCTTGGATCAGAGCTTCCCAGCATTTGTGGAAGAAGTGGAGAAACAGCTGAAAAAAATTACAGACGGTTAGGAAGCAAAGTGTTGAAATGTATTAAAAATAAGCAAGTTCATTACAATTTGTTTATTAAAATAAAGAATTCCAAACTCAATGTGACATCCTAGTCTATAAAAGAGAGCAAGAAGTGGAACTCTCTGCCCCGGACTGTGGTGGAAGCTCCTTTGGAGGCTTTTAAGCAGAGGCTGGATGGCCGTCTGTCGGGTGCTTTGAATGAGATTTTCCTGATTCTTGGCAGGGGGTTGGATTGGATGGCCCATGAGGTCTCTTCCAATTCCATGAATCTATGAAGACCATAAAGATGATAAAGAGATTGGAAACAAAGCCAAGGATAAGAATAAGGATAAGAAAAGACTGAGAGAGATAGTTATGGAGGTTGTCAAGTGGTGGAAGATGGAGCAAGTTTTCTTTCTGATGCCAATGGGTTCAAATTACAAGAAAGAATAATAATAACAACAACACTTTATTTATATTCCGCCCTTCTCATCCCGAAGGGGACTCAGGGCAGATCACAGTACATATACTTGGCAAACATTCAATGCTGTTTAGTATAGACAATAAACAGACAGACAACAGAAGGAGGTGGTTTGTTTCAATTCAGTGTCCAGTTGTTTTTGATGCCATGGAAGGTTGGGCTTGAGTCTAGGGGGTGCTGTTGCTCTATCCTCTATGATGAAGGGACGTCAGGACTTCCTCCTTCCTTTTGGTTGCCCAGCATTTTCTGATCTTCTCTCTTTATGGTGTCGTAAAACACCTTCCCCGCTTTTTAGCGGTACCTCATTTCTCTAATTACAGCTAAAGGTGTTTTTGATTAGCTTAGGTAAACAATGTGCTAGGGTGTCATTTGGCAGCTCACGCCAAACCCGGGGTTTGAACTTGCAACCTTTTGGTTGATAGATCTTACAATTGCTGACTATTTACCAGAGTTTATCTTAACATTTTGAAGTATATTCTGATGGTCAGAACTATTAGATGTTGTAAGGAAGCGTAATCCCACCTAAATGGGATTACCAAAATTAAATAAATATGTATGTTAATCCACCTAATTTCAACCTAAATTATAAGGAAGTCCCAAAATTTCTTGATTACACTGCCACCATTATATATATAGAGAGACACTGGTATTAAAGTCTCTGTTTATCCCTATCTGCGTTGTGAGGTAACTTTGGTAGAGTGGTCTGCACCAAACGTAAAGTCAATGGAGGAGGCAGGTTTAAAATACAAAGAGAACAAGTTTATTGTTAACAGATCGTAATTGTTGCAATATTAAGATGTTGAACTTGGCACAAGCTTGATGGTTACAATATGGCTTGGTTGAGATACATTCAGGCTTCTGATGTTACAATCCTTTAAACTCCTTCTTCAGTGAAGTACTTTATTATTTCAGTGTTCCCTGTTGTGAATATTCACTCTGTTTGTCCTATACCGGATCAAACCACCGATCTCCAGTCTTTCACTACTGGGATCCCTAAAACCTCCTTTGTTAGATTCTTTTTAACACAAGCAATCTAACAAGGTTTCACCTTCAGCTCCCTTGCTGAAGAAATATTCACAAATGCTAAGAACTAACTGAATCTATACTGCTTCACCACACAGAGCCCTAACTGACTCCGCTCCTCTTCTCAGGGTCTCATCCTCCTGACTACCCATTAACTGTTACTTTCAAACCTTTTCTCCTTAAGCTCCGCCCACCTTCTCCTCTGCCTTGTCACCATGGCAACCTATCTCTCACAGCTAGGCCATGGCCACGCATGTAAAACATAAATACAGTTTAAACACAGTACAATAAACCCTTTATAATAAACACTTCTCTACAGATGTGGAATAGCTTAGCACAGAAAGTGTTGATCAGAATTGAATAGTCACCTGTCAGTGGTATTTTAGTATTAGAGTCATTCCTGCACTGGCAAGAAATTGAAGCAGATGACCCTTAGAATCTCTTCCAGTTCTGACACTGAAAAGCCTGTAGGTATAACTGTTCATATCTCTATCCCTATATTCTTTCTACTTCCTCACCTTCCCTTTTCAGTAGTGTGATATATTTACAGATAGAAGAGGATGAAAGATGAAGAACTCAGAAATTGCTGTAGTAGTTGTGTTCCCCTACACATGCTGCTCAAAGGCATATGATAAACCCCTTTTTTGTGATCATGTTTGAGGCTTTCTTTCCTCCTCTTGTGCATCTTTATTCAAAACCAGGGGTGGCTGGCAGATCTTTTACCAGAAATGTGATTCCAGTTCTATTGTTCTTCCTTTTCTAGATGCTCCTGGTTGGACAGGAGTCATCCAAGGCCTGACTTTATTCAGGATATGTTTAGTACTTGAAAAGGCCCCACACAATCCAGAGCAACTGGAGAAGAGAAATGGCTGCAAAACAGTAGCTTCTACAGCAATTAATCTAAGGCAGCTCAGAAGTGAGCCCCATTCCTATTAAGTAGAGCAGTGACCAAGCTGACCAAGGACCACTCGCCAACATTAGTACCAAAAGGGTTACAAATTGGTTTTTGGTCAGCTTTAGATTCGGTTTGGTTATTTGGGGTGCTGATTCAGAAAATTACATTGGATAGGCCACATCAGCTCTAGTTTCTGACACAGAACATATGCCATCCAGTAGTTGCCATCTGCTCACCCACAGAAAATCATATTTAATAAGCCTTGACACTATAAGAGGGTTTTGCGAGACCAGTCTCTCTTGTTGCAATGGTGGAGTAATGATGAGGACACGGACCATATTTAGTTCTTGCTGACCAGTGGTGGTCCACGGACCACAGGGTGGGAACCACTGCAGTAGAGAAATCTCTATTATGGAAGAAAGAGCACTTTCCCCTGATAATTAGCGTGATAGCTAATGTTGCCTTTCTTAAATTTTCTAAATCTTGAACACAACATGTAAAAATTATTGTCAAAATGCCAGGTCAGAATGTGAATCCTGCTCCAACAACACTTGTCTGTTTCCTGCTATAAAACGTTGGCCAATTAATATGAAATTCTGTCTCATCATCTACATAAACCTGTATATACTAAAATGAAAGAAAAGCAAAAGCAGCTCAGCTTTGTAGATCTTTCCATAGTCGTGAAAAAATCAACAATTTTCACAAGTATAATGGCTTGAAAACATTTCACAATGTGCTACTGCTGTAATTGCAACATGAAAGGTACATGAAAACATACCTCCTGTTAGAAGAACTGCATTAGTTGCTCCCATATGTATTAATTCAGAGAGTAAGAATGCCTGAAATGTGCTAAAACTGACTGAGAAAATATTCATTAACAACAAGAGGGAAACACTGTTAGCTTGCTGATCCTTTGAGGATAATATTGAAAGTGTCAGTAGCACATCCCAGTCACGCCACCCCTCCCCAGAAGAATCCTATTTGTCTCTAGGGACAACCAAAAACTGGTATTTCACCTTTGGTTTGATTAAACCAGGATAACTGGCTTCACATTCATACTAGAGATAGCATCGAAAAATTGCCTTAAATGCATAGGAAAGGATGATGGATATCAACAAGGAGTGACAAGAGCCTTTTGATTTTAAGTCCCCAACTGTGGCAAACCATGAATGAATTAGGGACCATTTCATCAAAGTTTGTTGCCTCTTCTGTGAAACTTTCAATGAAAACTTTGTTATTATGTCTCAAATGCTTAAAACCTTTACAGCTATACAATAGATTAAAAGTTTTTAAAAGCTTAAATTGAACAACAAAGACAAGGAAAAGCTACAAGAGGAATCAAGCTGAAATAGCAAAAAACCAACTGAAATACTTGAGTTTTAAGACTCTTATTAAAAATCTGAAAACTCCATAGATGAGACTTTATCTTACTTGGGACAGTATTCCAAGAATAAGGAGTTATGAAAAGAAGGAAAAAGGAAAAATCAGTAACTTCAAAAATTAAGAACTTAGTGCAAATAGAGTCTAAGAGAGTAAAAGTACATTCAAACTTGCTATAGGGTAGTGCTTGTAGACTAGCTCATCTCAAAAATATGAAAAGGGAATGTTTAGAGAACATCTGCAGAGTGTCTCTCTTTCCACTGAGTATCCACAGCTAGTTCCCACACATTTTTCTTTCAGCACAGTGTGCATGAGCTCTGATTTGAACTTTTTGTATAAGAAGTTAAGAACAGGAAGCAGTGTTTTGGTATTTTTCCAGGGTGATAAAAATGATTGAGAGGCAGTCAATCTAAGTTATAATATCCTGTTTGAAGCTGGCAAAGTGTAAAGTATTGACCTGGAGATCAGAGAAGAACAAAGTTGGCCAATCCCCACAATTCTGCAAAGAAGACTTGCACAAAAATCCTTAAAGCCAATCCATAACCATATGAGTTTGGCAATGGAGCTGTGTCTCAACATCATCCAGCAGTCATTCTGCTGCCAAACAACAGTTATGTAAGGGGATGTTGGGTGCTGAATACCTTTCTATGTAATGCTGAAAAAAAGTAAATCTGTTAGTACGCTCACTACCTATGCTAGCATCACACCCTAAAATTATTCCATCTGAAATATACGAAAATTCCCAGTAAATGAACAATTATAAATTTTCTCACAATTTACTAAGATTTGGAAGCTTGTCTAAAATGCAAGAAGTTCTATCTATTTACACCAGGATTAGTTCACTTACTTTAACCTGTCTCCAAACAATACAGATCCTATGCAGGCCATAGTTCCCTACTGCAACAATGCTAGAGTATCTCATATTACAATTTGATCGTTAGCAGGCACCTGAACTCCCTTAATTGTTGTCTGCCTTTCATCGCTCCACTTTTGTAGACAGCGAGTGCTTTCACTTGTCAAACACACTCTTTGGGCATTTGAGGAGTGATCTATAACAGACAAGCTGCTGCATCTTGAAAGCCTCTTTCTGAAAAAGGAGACTGCAGCCTTTACATGAAACAGAAAGTGTTTCAATTAGAAGAAATGTTCTTAATGAACTTCCAAAGCAATGGCCGAATTCAATGCTTTGTTGGTGGAATGATTTGCCAGGATGCAATGTTCTAAAATGTATCGCAAGGGGCTCTTTAAAGGATCTGTGAGGAACACTTTGAATTCGGTGTACTGACATGTCCATGAATGCCCATTCATCATTTCAGGACTG